CGCGGGGGCCCGGAGCGCGCGGCGCGGGGCCCTCGGGCTTGCCTCGAGCTGCCGTAGGTGCGCCGAGCCGAGCTGGCAGTGGGAGGTTCCGGGAAGTTGGCTCGGGAACGTTGGCGATCCCGGAGCAGCCCAACTTTTTTGGGGGTGGGGTGGGGGAGCGGCTGAAGTGGTGCTGCCCCCAGAGGGGCGCCTTCCACGCCAGTGGTCGCGGCGATCGCCTCTCCCCCTCCCCCGACTCGGCTTTGTGCTGGAGCCGCGCGCCGAGGGAAGGCGCGCCGTCCCTTGGCCCGCCCTGTAGAGCCGGGGCGCGGGGGGGGGGGCGACCGAGGGACCAACGTGGAGCTCGCGGCTGGGGGCGGCCCTGGTGGAGGATGCTGCATCCACTTCTGGTGGGGTTCGATCGCCTTTAGACCAGGCCGACAAAGAACGTGCCGAGGGGGTCCCCAGAAAGTGGCTCTCCCGCCCCAGCCGCCGTCGGCTAGCCCGCCTTCCCCAATGGGGGCGCTTTGTTCTCGGCCCCTGTAACCCTTTCCTGGGAACCGCCCCGGAGCGCCGGCCCTGGACGTGGGCTGGGTGCTGGGCCGCCGCCAGGTGTCAGCGCCGGACGCTGGGTGCCCACGCCCCCGGCCCCCGCACCGGCTGCGAGCCCCGGGGGGAGGGGGGTCTTCCCGGCACGGCTGTCCCGGGGGAGGCCGGAGGGAGGTGCGCAGCCGGGGCTCTCTCCCTGCCGGAAGTGGCGGTCTCGCCACCACATCTGGACAGCTCGACTTCCCTAGTTCTGGCCAAGGGAGGCACGTGGGCAGGGAGGGAAGGCAGGGGTCGGCACCCGGGAGCAGAGCTTCTGATGGGCCGTCTGCACGCGTCCCTGGGCGGCGCAGACCCTTGGCTAGTATTTTCTTCGGCAATCACAGCCACTAGTAGTTATTGTTTGAGGGGATTCTTGGGGACTGGTTTCCGAGATGAGGTCGGTCCTCAAGTTTTGGAGGCAGATGGGTGGACGCTGCTTCCCAGGTGATTTGCACTTCCAAAACTTTCTGAAGTCCGAGAGAGGACCCCCGACTCCTCTTGAGGGGCCCTCTGAGTTGGAGCCTGTGGGGTGCTGAATCTAGAGGAGTCTGGGGGGGGGGTGGAGGCGGACTGGTTTCTGGTCTGCAGTGCACTCCTGGCTTTCAGGTTGGAGAAGTCGCTCTTGAGGCTTGTGGTTTCTGTTGGGGCTCAGCTTACGCCTGGAGAAGAGAGTGGAGCCACTTGGCGTGTCTCCCTGACCTGCCTGGCATTGCCTCCTGTCCCCCTCTGCAGGCCAAGAGGAGGCCTCACGGGGCTCCAGGGAGGTGGGGTCCTGCGAAGGGGCGCTGGTACCCTCTGCCTGCCTGGAGTGAGACAGCATTCCTGAGAACTCCATCCCAGAGCGCCCATTCATGCGGAGGCCGCTGGAGATGGCCATTCTGTGGTTATAATTTCTGTGGCCTGGGTGGAGGTAGATGTGCAGTGGGAGGCATTGTTTCTGTCCCCGCTGGAGAACGCAAGCTCTAGAAGGCAGGAGATTCCCAGTGGGGAAAGGAAGAAGGGAGTCTTGAGAGGCCTTCTGGAGCAGAGTTTGCACCGAGCCTGTGGTTTGGGGCTCAGACTTCAGCATGGAGCTTAGGCATTCTTCTTGCTTTTTTATTTTACGAAGTTTACTTGATAAATGTGTCTCTCTTTCCCAGCAATGCCCTTTCTTAGAGCAAATACCTGATTTGTTTAAAGGAGGCTGCCTTGTGTGACATAAAATACCTACCCAGTGTTGCCCTCTTCCTCTTTCCTAAAAGAAAAGAAAACAAAAAACAGGCAGTTGGGATTAAAATGGAAGAAAGTATCCAAAAGTTGCCAAGATCTGGCACCAAGGCCCCCGTGGGAAAGAGGTCAGAGCCCCCCTGGGGACCAGTGAGGTAGCTCTCACAGTTGGGTGTCTGAATGCAGGAGGTAGCTCCCAGTAGTCTCTGGAGACTGAAACAGATTTGTTTAAAAAAGTGTGTGTGTGTGTCCGTCCGTCCATCCCTGTCCCTGTCCGTCTGTCTGTCTCCCGGTCCATCCGTGTCCCCATAGTCTTTTGCTTCGGCTCTGTGGGGGGAGGGAGTATTCTTCTGGAATAGTTATTTGCGATTTTTCTGTTTCTCTCCCCTCCATCTTGAAAGGCATAAAATCCTTTTTGCTTTAATTATGGGGACTAGTAGAGACATTTCCCCAAGGCCTGGCAGGGTGGGAGGGGTGGGGGAGGCTCTGGCTGCCTCTGCCCAGGCTCAGACTTCGGAGGTGATGTCACTGCTGGCTTAAGCTCCCAGGGGAGGGCAGAGCCAGTTTAAGTCTCTACCTGTGGCCCTTGATGGGTTCCAATGAGACCTTATTAAGGGGCAAGGAAGGAGAATACTCCCCCTCTCTCCCCCCCCCAATGATGACTGACAGTCTTGTGTTTTGTTTTGTTTTTCTAAGTAGTTTCTAGTAGAAGACTAAAGTTTTTTTTTTTCCTCTGCTGTAACAGGAGTTTGGATTCCTGAAATCCCTTGAGAATGAAGTGTCTTTGGCATTCAGACTTTGTTTCAGTGAGTTCAGAATCAGCATTGCCTCCAAAGTATTCTTACTTTGCACAGGACTCTTAAGTATTTATTTCTCTTTATCAACGTCAGCAAGATGCTAGACGTGGTTTAATCTCCTCTGGGTGCCAGGTGCCCACAGCACCGTTCCGTTCCCTGGATCTGTTGAATTTGATGTGAACATTTATTTCCCTTTTCTATCCCTGTCCAATAGCCAGAAGTAATGTTGGTGTATCTGAGTGGGTCAGCTGTTCCATTCATTCTAATTTGTTGAAAGGAATCAGATTGGTTAGAACCAGAGTGGAAGGTTCTGAATCAGGTCTAACTCGTGAGTAACGTACTTGATCTGTGGATTTGATATTCTTTTTGATCTGTGGATTTGATATTCTTTTTGTACCTCAGCCGGGACCTCTTGTCCCTAGCCCTAGAGGGGGAAAGAGTCATTGTTTTAGTCCTCAGTCTCATCCTTCTGGTACTTGGCTAGTCCCAGGTAGCCTGGCCTCATTAGGACATGCTCTTGTTTTTCCTGAGGAGCATGGCTGTGAACTGTGATCCTCAGATCTCAGCCTCTTAAAAGTAGCTAGGATTGCGGGCATGAGCCACAGGCACCCAGCCAGGGCCCTTGTTCTTTAGCCTTTACTGTGGCTCTTAGCTTATGTTTGTGTATTATCTGCATCCATACAGTTTGTCAGGCTGGAGACACATCCTGCGATTAAGGAGAGCCCCAGGATCGAATCTCAACTCTGCCACTAAGTTACCATGTAATCTAGGGCGAGTCTTTTTACTTCTACATCTTGTCATTGCCATTTGCAAAACAGATATCTTCATGCCTGCTCTTCCTGCCCTCATTCTGTCACTTGGGTGTCTGTTTCACAATGGATGGGTGAAAGTGCTTGGTAATGAAAGTGCCCAAGGAGAGTTAGCTGCCAATACAATGGAGGTTAGGGTTACCTTTTATTGAGTACCTATTACAGAGAGCTCAGTTCTCTTCCTAATTCTTAGTTAATCTTTACCCTCAACCTTTGTAACAATATATCATTCACCTCCTTTTGGATGAAGGCAACTGAGCCTGTCCAAAGAGCAGAAATGGCAGACACAGGATTTTGATTTGTGTGGTGTGTGCATAGCGTGTGTCTGTGTAGCACGAAGGAGTGCACTACAGGGCTGTTCATCCTCTACATGTGGGGGTATCCAGGCCACCTCTTGCTGACCCACCCTGGAGTCTCCCAGGGGTGAGCATTTTGTTAGAAGGGGGCATTGGGCTTGGCTAGGCTGGCCTGCTACAGTGCCTTTGGGCAAACCCTGAGAATTAGGCAATGCCTTGGGCCTCGGCTGTGGCACTTGAGGGTAACTTGGGGACAGGCAAGAGCTCCTTACAGTAAAGCAGAGGCCAGGAGTCGGAAGTGAGACCCAGGAGAGTGGAGTATGACATGACATGACATGCTGGGCGTAGAGAGCCTGCATGTCTGGATGCACTTGTTAGTATGGCACCCTTGTACCTACCTGAGGTAGCACCCAGGGGTCCTCCCTTTCTCGCTGTCTTTCATCTCTTGGTTGCTCCAGTGCCAGGTCTCATCGCTAGGTCATTGAATGATGTCTAGGCCCAGTGAAAAACGGAACAAACTTTTCTCTGATGGCTTTTTACCAATCAGATTTGTGATGTTGGGTTGAGGCCTCTCCCCCCACCCCCTAGTTTGCCTGGGGTTAAAGAATGGGATTAAGGGGTCTGTGGAATGAAGAGCTTCTAGTGCCAAGATCCTGTATCCTGGAAGAGACAGAGGTTTCAGGTTGCAGCAGAGGTTGGATTGGGGGGTGGGAATGTACATTCTGGAACCTTCCATGGAGTGTGACTTGAGTGCTTTGACAGGTACCAAGGAGAGGAGGTATCTTAAGTCTCTTACCACAGGGAGATATGTGTTGGGAGGCAGTGAGACACTTCTGCCTCCTCAAGAAGCTTCTGTGTTGGTCATGAGATGCTCCATGAAGTCCAACAGGTCCCATCACTGTGGTCAGTGTAAGGGGACGGATGGATGGGCACCTGGGGAGGGGCGTCCTCTGCCGTGGCATGCCGCGAGGCCTCCCCAGACCTGCAAGGGAAGGCAAGCTGAAGAGAGCTTGCAGAGGGATTTTGGGGACCACTGATGCGGGGGAGGGGGGTGTGGGGAACGGCAAATCTCTCCACTTAGCGGTTTGCCGGGGGATCTTTCCTGCTGACTCAAGAACTCAGAGGCCTGCAGAGGTGCCTCCTCCCGCCCCTCACCCCCTTCACACTGAGAGCCGTCAAGGGTCTCCAATCTCCTGGTGTTTATGGCTTTGTGGGCTGCCTAATTATATGTAGAGGATGCTCTCCTCTGGCCTCCAGCCCTGGGAAAAAACTCCTCTGCCCAGTGACTCACCTGAGGTTTGTGGCCTCGTGAGAGGCTCTGTGCACTCATGCACGCACGCATGCACGCACATGCTCGGGTTCCAGCTACACTGGCCTTGGCCTGGCCAGTTGTGGTGCACACACACACACACACTCTCTCTCTCTCCCTCTTGGGTTTTGCTTCCTGTTAAGTTGGTCCTAGCTTTCTGGCACCCTTCACTACCTGTCCGCCACTTTCTCCATAGAAACCAGAGAGTTTGTTATTCCCTTCTTCCTTTCGCTTGCTGCCTTTCCTCTTTCCACCGCAGCTCTGAAACTCTTCTGGAAGTTGTTCCTAACAGCGAAGGGGGCGCAGCCAGGACGCCTCTCCTTCCTAGTCCCATCCTGGCCATCCACTCAGTGTGGCTCACACAAGTCATTGCTCCTTTAGGTCTGTCTCCCATCTGCCCGAGGGCCTCGATTCTGAACAGAGAGACCTTGTTGCGGGAAGGGCCACGTCACAGGCCTTGAACTCCTGTCCACGCTGCCTCTGGGGACCCATCCAAACAGCTGGCTGCCCGAGAGATCTCTGTGGGCTAGGCCTTGCGGGCAGTGGAGGGGTGCCCTTGGCAATTGGCGTGGGAACCGGGGTGGAGGGAGGCCCCTGGGCAAGGTCAGGCTGGGGGTGAGGGCTGGGCCCTGCTCTCTGCGCCCACACCCGGGCGTCCTGGCACCTGCCTGAGGCCCGCTCATCAGCAGGAATGAGAACTGCACCGGGCAGGTTGGGGCAGCAGGAGGCTGAGTCAGGGTGCCAGGCCCACGGCTCCTCCCTGAAGACTCACCCATCTAGCCTTGACCCACTCTGTGTTGGGCACAAGTGGTACGATGAGGCCCAGATGTGGCCGGGGAGCGGGGGTGGGGTGGGGTGGTGGGTGCTGGCTTCCAGCCCTGACCCTGCTGTTCTCCCTCTGTGGGCTTCTCTTGGGGTCAGTGAGCCCCATCTATGAAATGGGGGCATGGGTGGAGAGGCAGAAGGGAGCTTGTGACTTGATAAGGCTGTGTTATATGACTGTGTGTGTATCCAGGAGGATTCTGCCTTGAGTGCTGAGGGGTTCCAGAGCTACAGCTAGAGCCATACAGGTCTGTACAGGGAGTGGCTTCACATCTGGTCTCCTGTCTGCACTAGAGAGGAGGTGCCTGTCACTGGAGCCAGCCTGAGAAGGCTTCTGTCGACATGTGGATGGGGGGGACAAGGCGCTCTTAGGTTTCTCACACTGGCCTTATTTGACTGCCTCTGTCTTCCTCATGAATGGCAGCTGCCTAGGGTTGATGCCTGGGCTGCCCACTTTTGGGGGGACCCCAATGTGGGGTTCTAAAGCCCTAGGACTGGGCAGGAGCAGAGGACCCAGTAACTGACAGGCTAAGGAGGCAGGATTGTAGCACCACAGGCTGAGTGGGGGGTCACTCTTTGGGTTGGGATGTGGGGTGGTGGGCAGGAACTTCAGGGGGGCTGGAGAATGGGGCCCAGGAACACCCGGAAAGGCCTTCAGGACTTGAGCTGCTTAGGAAGCTCCCCAAGACTTGGAGGTCCCACCTCCCAGGAGGGTTGGGGCCGGATGTGGAAGTCAGGTTCAGGCTTGCAGGGCCCTGGGCTGTGGGGTGTTGGAGGATCCGCCGAGACCGTTGTGGAGGCTGACGTCACCCCAACTTCTCCCAGAAATTGCCACAGGGGTGCGGTGCTGCTGTGGTGACCCCCAGGTCTCCCTGGACGGCACGTGGGGGAGCGTGGAGCTGCTGGGCCTGCAGGACCGCTGGGGCTGGCCAGCCCTCAGGCCACATGGTTGTGTCCACCTCCCTGGCCTGACTGAAGGCATTCTGGAGGGTTCCTGGGGCCTGCGGGATGAGCACAGGTGGCTTTTCCAGGGTCCAGGCCTGGGTGGAGAGTCCGCAAGCGGGCCTTGAGATCCGTTTTTTTTTTTTTTTCCCTGTTAGTTATGGGGCTTGAACTCAGGGCCTGAGCACTGTCCCTGAGCTTTTTTGCTCAAGACTAGTGCTGTATCACTTTGAACCATAGCTCCACTTCTGACTTCTGGTAGTAATTGGATTGGAGAGAGAGTTTCAGGGACTTTCCTGCCCAGGCTGGCTTTGAACTGTGATCCTCAGATCTCAGCCTCCTGGTAGTACTCAGTGGGACTTAAATTCATAAAGTTGCGAGACTCTTATCTCCAGTTAGCCAGCGAAAAGCTGGAAATAGAGCTGTGACTTCTGTGGTCGAGTGCTAGACTTTAGCCAAACAGCCAAGTGGCAGCCAGAGGCCCTGAATTCAAGTCCCACTGAGTACTAGCACCACTAGTTACTCCTCTCTAGCTAGGACTACAGGCATGAGCCACAGGAGCATTCTCACCCACTACCTGTCCTCCCTGACTCTTGCCTCTGCCCACTTCTGGTGCAGGCCTAGGCAGGTGAGGGGCCCCCGAGGGGCCACAGAGCGATGGGGTGAAGTTTTCCCCTCTGGGATCATGCCTGGACTTCTTGCATCTTCTGAGTAATCTTGGGCACAATTTTTTTTTTAAACCTACCTCCAAGCCTCAGTTTCCTTATCTGTAATATGGGGTTTCTCACAGCCTGCCACATGTGATATGGTAGGGGGTGCCCCTTCTTCCTGGCCTAGGACAGGTCTGGGGGAGAGCACTGAGGCGGGCCTGCAGTGGCAGTGGCTGCAGGAGGTTGGTAGTTACTCGGTGGGAAGGCAGTGGCGCCTGGCCTGGCCTCTGGGGGGGGTGGGTACAGCAGGGTCTGCAAACATGGCTTTTGCCCCTTCTCTGAAAGCCTTGTCTTTGTTGGCAGGACAGACTTTGTTTTCCTCAACCTGAGCAGGGCTGGGCTGGCAGGCGGGAGTAGAGGCCAGATAAACCCAGACACCTGGGCACCGGGGTAGGGGCTCATGCCAGCGAAGTAGGGCCCTGGTCGTGGGGCGCCGTGGCCTGTGCCTGGAACTTGGGACCAAAGGTGGCCTTGGAGAAGCCAGGTTCTCTGTGGACACCTTCACATGGCGGATGCCCCCTGCAGGGTGAGGCCCCGGGCCTTCGGGTGAGCAGACCTGCCTGTCCCTCTCATCTCGGGCATAAGGGACTTCTCCTCTCCCCCTTCCCCCCCAGGCCTCAGTTTCCTCATCTGTAAAGGTGGGCATGGCACTAGATCCTATAGTGGTAAAGATAAAAGTGAATTCATTGGGTGCCAGTGGTTCACACCTGTAATCCTAGCTGCTTAGGAGGCTGAGATGTGAGGATGTTGCTTCAAAGCCAGCCTGAGCAGGAAAGTTCATGAGACTCTGATCTCCAGTTAACCAGTCCAAAGCTGGAAGTAGAGCTGTGACTTAGGTGGTAGAGCACTAGACTTCAGCAAAACAGCTAAGTGAGAGCCAGAGGCCCTGAATTCAAGTCCCACTGAGTACTAGCACTGAAAGAAAAGAAGATTAAGTGTACTAACTCAGGGGAAGTGCTAGCATTTCAATGTATTTAGTGCTAGCACATTTTGCTCAATAAATATTGGCTGTGATGGCCTTTTTTTTTCTTCCCTGTCAGTCATGGGGCTTG